TCTGAGTGATTATTTTATAAGTGGATTGTGGGACTGCGGGGCTTGGGGAACCTGGAGAGAAGCCCTCCAGCAACACATTTCTTTCTGGTGAACATCTCTTTCTGGGAAGAGAGGAATCAGATCCTGAACTTACCAAAAATGCTGATGCTTTAGAGCAGAGAATCACTTCACTTGGTTGAAAAAAAATCATTAACACTTCTCTTCAAGACTTTTACCAAATATTGTGTGTGGCTCCTGTCCTTTGCCATTTGGAAAGACTCACCAGTTAGCTATTCTTTATTTATTAAACTCTTTCAGATGCTAAAAGCAAGAAGATGGAGAGAGAAGGTAGAAATCAACATGTCTGATTCTAAATTTAGAGTTGTTTGCCTGTTCCAATCTCAGAATTCTGATCCTTACCGGGCTAATCTAACAACAACAACAAAAAAAATGCTACCTGTGCCCATTGGTGTATTGTAACAGAAGTACATAAATGATTTTGGATTACTTAACAGATAGAACTCATGTAGTGTATATTGAGTCCATCAATTAATATTTTCTTCTCTGTTGCTATTCTAATTTGAAGGTTTGTTTGTTTGAGTATAAATGAACTGCCTCAATTTAAATGGGGGGAATTTTTTATAAATAAACTACTCTAACAGATTATGTTTGGGAGTTGTAAAAGTTTTTCCATTGAAAAAGTCAGAATTTAGGAGGATCCTGTTACATGCTGGATGCAGAAATCAGAGTCAGAAAAGCTTGCAAAAACAGATAGTTTTTAGCACTTTAGTGAGAGAAGCACTTTATTTTTCTGTTTATTTTTTTAATTTTATAATTAACTTAATTTTTACATATCAGCCTTGTATTCCCCTGTCCTCCATCCTCTGCCCCCCACCTTAATGCCCAATCCCCCCTCATTCCCATCTCCTCCAGGGCAACCACTCCTCTGGGGATTCAGCTCAACCAGGCAGATTCAGCCAAGGCAGATCCAGTCCCCTCCTCCCTTCACCCAGGCAAATCAAAGTGTCCCAGGATAGGGCCCAGGCTTCAATAAGCCAGCTCATCACTAAGGACAGGTGCTGGTCCCATTGCCTGGGGTCCTCCCAAACAGTTCAAGCTAATTGACTCACTTACCCAGAGGGTATGGTCCTGTTCCATGGGGGTTCTTCAGCTATTGGTTCATGGTTCATGTGTTTATACTAGCTTGGCCATTTGTCCCTGTGCTTTTTCCAATCATGGTCTAAATGTCTCTTGCTCATAGAATCCCTTCTCTTCCTCACCAATATGACTCATGGAGCACCACCTGGGGCTTGGCTGTGGATCTCTGCATCCACTTGCATCAGTCATTGGATGTGAGTTCTATCATGACATTTACGGAGTTCAGCCATCCAATCACCAGAGTAGGTGAGTTTGGGCTTTCTCTAGACAATTGCCAGTAGTCTATAATGGAGGTATCTTTATGGATGTTGGGGGACATCTCTAGCACATCTTCCTATTCCCATGGGCACTTCATTTATAATGGTTTCTCTTTCCTTGCTCTCCCTCTCTGTTCTTGGTCCAGTTGGAATCTTCTGCTCCCCTAAGCTCTCTTTCCCCCGACCCTTGCCCTTCCTTAACTCCCCTCATGTCCAGTGTGCTCATGTAGATCTCTTACATTTCTCTGTCATTGAGTGATTCCCTGTGTCTTTCTTAGGGTCCTGTTTTCTAGGTAGCCTCCCTGGATTTGTGCCCAACATCTCTAATCATCAGGGAAATGCAAATCAAAACGACTCTAAGGTACCACCTTACACCTCTCAGAATGGCTAAGATCAAAAACATTGAAGACAGCTTATGGTGGAGAGGATATGGAGCAAGGGGAACTCTCCTCCGCTGTTGGTGGTAATGCAAGCTTGTACAACCACTTTGGAAATCAATAAGGTGCTTTCTCAGAAAATTGGAAATCAATTTCCCCCAAGACCCAGCTATACCACTCTTGGGTATATACTCAAGGAATTCTCAATCATACCACAAGGGCACATGCTCAGCTACATTCATAGCAGAATTATTTGTAATAGCCAGAACCTGGAAACAACCTAGATGCCGTTCAACTTGAAAATGGATAAATAAAATGTGGTACATATACACAATGGAATACTACTCAGCAGAGAAAAACAATGACATCATGTGGTTTGCAGGCAAATGGATAGATCTAGAAAAAATCATCCTGAGTGAGGTAACCCAGATTCAGAAAAACAAACATGATATATACTCACTCTTAGGAGGATACTAGATGTAAAACAAAGGGTGACTAGACTGCTGTTTTTGATATTAGAACTTTAACTGCTAAGAATATTTTTTTATTTATCAAATTATGTTCAATAGGTATGTTTTGGATATTAGACCATTCTCATTCTCATGAGAATTTTTATTTTATTTATCTGATTTCTTGTGTTGAACATGAATATTTTGCATATTAGACCTTTATCTAATGAAATTTT